GTTTGAAACTTGAGTAGGGTCTGAAACTCTTCTATCACCATAAACTCGAGCACATCTTTCCCTCCAGATATAAGTGCAGCACATTGTCCATAAAAGTCTTCCTGCTTTAGCTGTCAAGCTTGTACTTGACCATCTCTGCGTCACCCAAGCCAAATGAGAGTTCCAATCTGGGAATTGAGACCACCTGCAAATTTTCTTCAACACCATCTGAAAGATCCCAGCACTATAAGAACAAACAGAAAAAAGATGATCTCTATTTTCCTTACCACCAGGGCAAAGGACACAGCAGTTCTCACTTGCCAATCCCCAGCTAACCAGTTTATCCTTTGTGGTAATTCGATCTAAAATAATCAACCAAACCAGTAAACTATGCTTTGGAATAAAAGGCTTTCCCCACAGCACAGAATACCATTCAACAGGAGCAATTGGAACACGTATAGAAGTCCAAACTAGCTTAACAGTTTCATCAATTTTTGTCCATCCCAAGCCAGATCATTACCTGAACCTCATATGTGAGTATTAGCTAGTTCTCTGCACTTAAGTACTTTCCTCCATATCCATGAACTGACTGAACTTGCAGGGATCTCCCAAATGTTCCTCCCTTTAATTTTGTATTTCTGAATCCAGGCAACCCACAAGGATCCTGCCTCAGCCAACAAATTCCACAAATGTCTCAATACACAAGCCCTATTCCAAGTCTTGAAGTCCCTGATCCCAAACCCCCCTTCTGCTTTGAGCAAGGCAACCTTAGACCAAGAAACAGGAGCTTTCTTTCTTCCATTCAACCCAACCCCCCATAGAAACTTATTGCACACCTCTTCAATTGCCTTCAAAACTCTCATTGGCAATAGAAAAACAGTCATCCAATACTGGAACACACTAGTGATAACCGAGGAAATCAGTTGGATTCTCCCAGCATAGCTAAGGGTTTTTGCTTGCCAAGTTGTAATTCTCTTAGTAATTCTACTTACCAAGTTACTGCAATCTTGTGCTGACAGTCTACCAGATAAAAGAGGGACACCCAGATATTTCACTGGCAGCTCCCCCAAAGGGAATCCTGTTATGTTTGAAATCCATTTCTGTTCCTCCTTTGGGATCCCTGCACAGAACAACTGACACTTGGCCAAGTTGCATCTCAAACCAGACACATGATAGAACTTATCCAATAACCTTTTGACCCCAGCTACTGCCCTAACTGATCCATTTGAGAGGACCAGTAGGTCATCTGCAAAACAGAGGTGGGTGATCTCCAGGCTTTTGCATCTTGGGTGATATGGAATCAGGTTTAGAGATACATCCCTAGCTAACATGCATGAGAAGACTTCCATGGCAATAGTAAATAGGTAGGGAGACAAGGGATCCCCTTGTCTTAACCCTTTGCCAGCTGGGAAATACCCACAGAGACCTCCATTGAATGCTACACTTAGTATAGGAGTTGTAATACAAGTTTCAATTAACTTGATAAACCTCACAGGAATATTCATAGCCCCCATAACTTTCAACAAAAATTTCCAATCCACAGAGTCAAATGCCTTCATCAAGTCAATCTTCAAAACACATCTAGATGAAATGGAGACCTTATGGTAGTCTTTAACTAGCTCTGTTGCCATAAGAATATTGTCACTAATAAGCCTACCTCTAACAAAAGCAGATTGACTTACCCCAATGAGTTTTGGCAACACTGAGGATAGTCTATTTGCTAACAGTTTCGAGATACCCTTATAGACAACATTACAACATGATATTGGCCTAAAATTCTGCATTTTATCCACCACTTCAAGTTTAGGTATCAGAGCTAAGATTGTAGAGTTTACCTGTCTAGGCATAATTCCAGATTGAAAAAAATCCAAGACAGTGTCTTCAACTGCTTTTCCAACTACATCCCAGTCCATTTTGAAGAACTCAGTTGTATACCCATCTGGCCCTGGAGCCTTGTCATTCCCCATAGCCTTAAAAACTATTCTAATCTCCTCCCTTGTAACCGAGGTTGTAAGTAACTGAGCATCATCCTCTCCAAGCTTGTGACACAAGATATTCTCAAAATAAGACATAGGAGTGTCTTGTACTAATGGATCAGCTTCTCCTAACAGGCCTTTGTAAAAATCAACAGCTAATTGCCCCATTGCCTTTACCTCAGTAAGTACATCCCCTTCCTCTGTAATCAATTTTTGTATAGTCTGCCTGTGATTTCTAACTTTAACCATACTATGGAAGTACTTGGTATTGGAGTCTCCCTCTATGATTCTACGAACCCTTGATTTCTGCCTGTAGAATTGCTCTTCAGCTGCCTGCAGTTCCCTACAAACCCCTTCCTGATCCAATACTTCACTAGGAGGGGCAGTTGGATCTTCAAGAATAGCCTGCTGCATAGCCTCAAGCTTAGTTTCAGCTTCTTTGACTCTTGCAGAAATCTCAGAGAACTGATATCTATTTAAACCCTTGAGCTTCATCTTTAAAACCTTCAGCTTCTGATACAATTGAAAGTAAGGAACACCTCTAATTTCTGTTTGCCACGCTTCTTCCAGTAACTTGTGATACTGAGGGTGCTGTCTCCAAAATGTGAAGAACTTGAACGGTTTCGGTAAAGAAGTGATCAGAGGGTCTGTGTGGACAAACAAACCACAATGGTCCGAAACACCTGGAGCCAACAATTTAACTAGACTGTCTCGGAGGACTTCCAACCACTTGTCATTTACCAAAACTCGATCTATCCTTCTAGCAATAGGATTGACTGTTTGCTTATTCCACCATGTGTACCAACTACCAATAGCTTTATGATCAATTAACCTCATGTCTGCAATCCAGCTCACAAAATCATCCATACTTTGACTCTGAGAGGGACTATTTGAAGCTTCTTGTGCTCCTGTGATGGCATTAAAGTCTCCAAGGAAAATACCAGGCTCCTGTACTACCATATACCTTCTCAACTCTTCATACAGTTCAGCTCTCTCTGCTGTTTTGTTTGGACCATATACCACAGTAATCACACATGACTCATTCCCAGATTGAACTCTCACTTGAATGAAATGCTGACCCATTCCCATCTCAACCACTGACAAAGCAGGCTTCCAAAAAATCCAAATCCTTCCATTATAAGAGTATTTGTAATTATTAATATGCCGCCAACCACTAAACTGTCTACTTACTATTCCATTTGCATTACCTTGCAGGACTCTAGACTCAAGTATAGCAAAAAAATCTACTCCTAATTGTGTAACTTTCTTATTCACATACCTATGCTTCTCAGAGGAATTGAATCCCCTAAGATTCCACACTAGCAACTTCATGTCTTCTTCTTTCTACCTCCCTTCTTCTTGGGAGATATAGGAATAACCAGATTGTAACTCTTCTCATTCAAAGGCACTCTAGCTCTCACTGCTGAATCAGGAATACACACACCTCCACTCTGCACTTGACCATTCATTTGCACTGCCTTCCCTTTCTTACCCACCAATTGGAATCCCTCCTCATCCATTACCACTGAAGGAGTTCCAGAGTCCTTACTCATTGTTATCTTACCAACAATACTAGGAGGAGTTCCTGTAGATGTAACAGATGCAACTCCCATCACCAAATCATCCTTAGCTGTTACCACCCCACCACTTGTCATAGAACCTTCAGCTCCTGTCGAAGAACTAGCCATCCCAATCAACAACTCTGCAGGAGCAACAGGATTTGTCATCCCATCAGAACTTACAGCATTTACCACACTTGCAACTTCAGCTATGCCAGGGCCTAAACCATCTGCCATACATCCAACTTCAGCCATTTTACATTTGACCCCCTCCCCAACTTTGTGGCCGAACTCAACACACTTCTCACAACGATGAGGAGCATGGAGGTAATGAACGAACAGCGTAATACCAGCTTCCCCCTCAGGTCGGATTTTAATCTCAGTCGGGAATGCAGAATCAGCAGCCATCTCAACACAGAGCTTAGCAGTCCCCATATGCGTCCCCAACTTTGTCGATTGATCCATCCAAAGAGGCGTACCCAGCAGACTAGCCATCCTGCTCAGCCCTTCCTCTGTCATATACTCCAGCGGCAATTCCCTGATTCTCACCCAAATTGGCAAACGAGAGCAATCCAGCTGCAGAGATTGGATGCCTGGCACCCACTTCCTCAAGAAAATCGGCACATTCTCGCAGTGCCAAGGCCCATTCTCAAAAACCCAGGTACTCGTCTCCACACACTCTAACTGAAACAAAAACATATTCGTCCCAAACACCGACACAAACACTCGACCATCTCTACCCTAGTACCGTTGAGCCCAGCGATGGATTGTTGCAATCGGAGGAGCATCTGAAAGAAACTGTCCCACCAATGCGTTCCGCCATCGAGCCGCTCCCTCCCCACGAACTGCTCGAGGGATAACCAGCTCCCCGTCCACTAGCGCAGGTGCCACATATCGAAGACGATTCCCGTCTCCAACTCCAAATAGCTGAGCCCAATTTGCAGGCTCCGGCGCGGTCATGCCGCGAAATCGCCGTCACCAGCTAGGTCAGGAGAGAGGGAAGAGGAAATTGGATAACCTCCCCTATCCAATTTTTGTCTATAATTTTATTGTTTTGATTTTTGACATTTTTTATGGACATTTTGATGGCGTTTTGATTTTTTACATTAACTTCTTATGCCGTGTAATTGGTGTTTATTTTTTAATTAATAACAACCGCCTTGGGCAGAAAAGGAATTATGCCGCAATTTTTAATTAGGGATTCGACTAATGTGATCCATTTGACCAACAAAGAGTGGTACTTTCTACTTTGCGGAAACAAGCAGAAAAAGCCATTTTAGTCATAACAAAGAAACTCTCTCTCTCTCTCTAGAAGACGCGCATTTCCGGCAGTTTTTTTCCTTTGCCTTTTAATTCTTGCCCATAAAATTGTCATCCCGAATATTATTTTTTTAATAATAAAAACACCAGTTGGCTTCCCCATAGACTACAATAAATCTTGTCCTTTCCCTAAATTATAAATAAAATATAGAATTAAAACTTTGAAGATTCAACCCAAGAACTGGGGCAAACGACAACTACAGTGCAGCGAAAACCCCATCCTGCCCCTCTTTCTTACCCTTTTCCCTCTCCTTTCTTCATTTCTTCCTCCTCCTCCTTCGTCTCCTCCACCAAACAATCTCCTCTCTCTCTCTCTGTACAAAGGGGGTTTTCTTTTCTCTTCTCTTCTCTTCTCTTCTCTTCTCCATAGCCCTCAAGAAAAGATTCATTCTTTCCTTCATTTTCTACTGCAATCCCCTTCTTTACTTACTGGGTCGCCCTCTAAATTCGATTTCTTTTTGACAAAATGGCGACAGCGGCAATCTTTTCTTCACTCCGGCGCCGGAGATCCCCCTCACTGGAAGCCTTCTTGGCCCCCGTGGACCTAAACGAAGTCGCCCTCCTGCAGACTCTCGCCGCCGTGGCGGCCGACCTCGTCACCTGCTTCTCCGGCAACTCCACCTTCTTCCAGCGCAGGAATTCCCGCTCTTTAATCCGCAAGATCGAAGTCTTCCTCGTTTTACTGGATTACTTGAAAGATGCTTACGGCGGTTCAGTTTCCTCCCTCCCGCCAAACGCCGTCGTTTGCCTCAAGGAGCTCTACCTCGTCTTGTACCGCTCCAAAATCTTGCTCGACTACTGCGTCCAATCCAGTAAGCTCTGGCTCTTGCTTCAGAACCAGTCAATCTCCGGCCATTTCCATGACCTCGACCAGGAGATTTTGACCCTTTTGGATGTTTTCCCCTTTGGGGATGTGATACTAAGCTTGGATGTCAGAGAACAGATTGAGCTCTTGCAGAGGCAAGCCAGGCGGTCAAAACTGCACATCGATAAGAACGATGAAACCCTAAGATTTCAATTCTTCTCGTTTCTCGATGAGTTCGAGAACGGGAAGATTCCTCCTGAGTCCAATTTGAGATTCTTCTTCGTCGAGAAATTGGGGATTTCCGATGCGCAATCTTGCAGAGCTGAAATTGAGTACCTGGAAGAGCAAATTGTCAGCCACGAGGGCGATGTCGAGCCGCCGGCTTCGGTCCTCAACGGATTCGTCGCAATTGTGAGGTACTCTAGGTTTTTGTTGTTTGGAATTGATGATAGAGAAGAACCAGAATTTGTCCATAGTACTAGTAGTCATAAAAAACAGAGGAGAGGCCTTATTTCTCAGGAGATTGCTGATACTTTCGTAACAATCCCAAAGGACTTCTGCTGCCCGATTTCTCTGGACTTGATGCATGATCCAGTGATCATTTCTACCGGGCAGACTTACGATCGGAGTTCTATTTCTCGGTGGATGGAGGAAGGGCATTGCAACTGCCCGAAAACAGGGCAAATGTTGTCGAACACTCGCCTTGTCCCAAACAAAGCCTTAAGAAATTTGATCAATCAATGGTGTCTAGCTCATGGGATCCCTCACGACGATGCTCCGGAGGGCCCCGATGCTGCTGCTTCAGCGTCGACATCGTCTCCTGAGCCATTCGCTGCTGCTTTGCCCACCAAAGCAGCCGTGGAAGCCAACAAGGCCACATCAGCATTTCTCGTTAAACACCTTGCCAATGGCTCGCAAGGTGAGAAAACCGTAGCAGCTCGTGAGATTCGGCTTCTGGCAAAAACAGGGAAGGAGAATCGTGGATTTATCGCCGAGGCTGGGGCGATCCCTCACCTCCGCGATCTCCTGTCGTCTCAGAACCCAGTGGCTCAGGAGAATTCAGTGACGGCAATGCTGAATTTGTCGATTTACGACAAGAACAAGAGCCGGATCATGGACGAACAACGTTGTCTGGGGTCGATCGTGGAAGTGCTGAGGTTCGGGTTGACTACCGAGGCTAGGGAGAACGCGGCGGCAACTTTGTTCAGCCTCTCAGCAGTTCATGACTACAAGAAGAAGATAGCCGACGAAGATGGTGCGGTCGAAGCTCTGTCTCAGCTGCTAAGGGACGGGACGCCTCGAGGTAAGAAAGACGCAGTCACTGCCCTGTTCAACCTGTCGACACATTCTGAGAATTGCGGCAGGATGATCGAGGCTGGAGCCGTGGCCGCCCTGGTGGCGGCAATGGGGAATGACGGGGTGGCAGAGGAGGCTGCGGGAGCTCTCGCATTGATCTTGCGGCAGCCTGCAGGGGCAGCCGCGGTGGTAAAAGAGGACGCTGCACTGGCAGGGTTGATTGGGATGATGAGGTGCGGCACGCCAAGAGGGAAAGAGAATGCGGTTGCGGCATTGCTGGAGCTCTGCCGGTGTGGCGGAATGGCAGCGACGGAGAAGGTGTTAAAGGCACCGGCTTTGGCCGGTTTGGTGCATTCCCTTCTGTTCACGGGGACGAAGAGGGCGAGGAGGAAGGCTGCGTCGCTTGCTCGAGTGTTTCAGAGGTGTGAGAATGGCAATGCTGCAGAGGTGAGGTTGAGTGGGTATTCAAGGACCGTGTATGCCGGTGGTGCGAATGTGGCGCCGACGAGGGATTCGAGTTTCGTTGGGGATGTCTCGGTTCGTATGGCCATTTCGGTTCCAGTACTGTAACAAGAACATACAGGCAAGGCAGCTTTTTGTTGTTATGTGTCGATTATACAACTTTCTTCTTTCTTTCTTTCTCTTGTAATTTGGAGGTTCTTTTGGGGGACCTGTTTTGGTTAGGAATTCTTTGATTGAGATTTTTAGGAGATGGAGGTGATAATGATAAAGAGAGGCAAGTTACAGGAGCTGCTAGTTATTACTGCTGTTCCCTTCTCAGTCTGGTGTTAGTTTGGGGGAAAAGAACGGGGAGGGAGGTATAAGTGTTTCTAGTTTAGCAATTAGCAGTTACCAGTTTACACTTGTGCAATATATGGAGCTGAATGAACAGTACAGAAAATGGAAATGGCAAACAAGTTACTGGGTTTAATCCATGAACATCTGGCGTAAGTCTTTTACTTCCCAGAGCGCAGCAAGCAAGAATCTTGCTGCAGAAGAGGTGAATTACTCGAAGAAAAGTTCGTAATGGATGCACTTGGTGACATTCCCCTGAGTACCAACTGATGAACAACAATGTCATTTTATGTTACCAATAGTATCCTAAATTTCAAAAGCTAATAAAAATCCTCTCGACATTTGCCGTAGCGTTACGATGTTTAAAATCTCTTTGCGCATAATATTTGTTGGTTGATATTCATTTATCAACGAAGTATCCCAAAATCCGCAATTGCGATGTTCAAAATCTCTTTGCGCATAATATTTGTTGGTTGATATTCAATTTATCAACGAAGTATCCCAAAATCCGCAATTGCGATGTTCAAAATCTCTTTGCGCATAATATTTGTTGGTTGATATTCATTTATCAACGAAGTATCCCAAAATCCGCAATTGCGAACTAAGTACCGATTCTAAGTTTGAAACGGGAGACAACCCGGACAAAGCTGCTTCAAACCCGCCCCACTCCCATACTAGCAAATGGCTGCATAAATGGAAATTTGCCCTTCAGTGTGTGGCAAACAGAACCGTCCGTTACAGCTAAAGGATGATATGGGTCCAAACTCCAGATTCCCAAACCCCCACCCTTTTCCTCCCATATGCCTGTCTCTGCATCAGCATATCAGGGGGTTTGACCTTGAGACTGACTGACAGGCAGAATCTAATCTGTGTGTTTGTTTGAACTCATCACATCACACAAGGTGCCCCCTAAACAAACTTTGGAAGGTCAAGACCACTTTTCTGGATCAATCAGCAGCAGCATCTCTTCTTCTCACCTCTCCCTTTACCTTTTCTTCGAAAGCAGAGAAAAAAAGGAACATATAATAATATGTGGGGATATTAGCATCTTCTCTGTTTCTAAATTTTCTAAGCAGCAGATGGAAAGAATTCCTTTATGGAGATTCTGCAGGCAGGGGAGAGAGGGGGAAAAGCAGAGGAGATGGATTTCCATCCACCCAACCCAAGGATTTTTAACTCTCCTTTTTTTTTTTTGGTTGTTGTTGCACTTTGTTCGATTGCCTTGTAAAATGGAAGGAGGGAGGAGGGTCTTCTTCTTCTTCTTGGGTTGAGTTCTGAATGTGATATGGTGACGCAAAGCACTTAGTTATGTTGGTGGGATTCCTTTTGGTTCCCACCACCACAGGTTTGTATAGAGAATTGCGTAAGCGCAGCAATGTCGCCATGTCATTTCATTGTTTGCCGCTGCTGAATGCTTTGATCATCATGTCACTGTATCTAATCTACCCATCTATCGCCCCACCATGATTATTAGTCATCAAAGTATCCACCTTTTTCAATGAATGGAGGGTAGAAATCTGAAGCTGAACAGAGAATAATTTGTATATGTAATCAAGCAAATCTAATTTCACTAATTAGAATTCACCGTCGTTAATAATACGATTCACAACTCTTCAAATAAAGTTTGTGGGAAGGTTTTTGATGAAAATGAAATATGTGTTAATAGCAATACCAAATCGACCTTTTTTCTTTCTAACTTATATCCCTTCCCTTGTCAAGAATCAAGATTGACATGGATGGATAGACTCCCTCTTGGTATATCCATCAAAAGTTCTTGGTATATCCATCAAGTACTTTCGAATAGAAAGGAAATCACCTAATCAACATGGCATCTCTTCTTAGGACTGTTGGCCTGGCGAGCCGGAGATGAGATCCGATCGTTTGGATGATGGAATTGGATGAGACAATTTGTCCTAATCGTCTTCAAATAAAGCAATTAGGTCAAATAGTCTTGTTATCAACACAAAATGGGGATGCAACGATTGGGACGAGGCAATTCAAATTGCCTCGTTTTGCATCATTTTGAATTGACACGGAAGGGGCAAGTATTTTGAATTGATAAGTTTTTGTGAGGCAATTGTGAGACAATTGGGTCAAGTTGCTTCATTTCAGAAATTCACCATCCAAATGACCCCTACTTGGCATGGGATGTGTTCTCGTTTCCTGCCTCGTCTTGGTAGGTTCTAAGCCTCACCGGCGAGGCCAAGCCTCGGAGCTTCCTTTACAGTACCATCTCACCTACCTAGCGAGGCTGGCCTACCAATGCTCCATGATGGGCGAGTCTCCGTATGTCCTCATGAAACGAGTTTTAACGAACAATTTAACAAGTTCATTAGAAGAGGATATATGACAAAAGATAATGTAATCTTTTTCAACACGATCACAAACGAAACAAGTTAATCTCCACATGTTTCAAACAAGCATGAAGTGATCTACTATATCATAGTTAAGTTATCTTACACCATATTATAGAAACAGACTTCTCTATCAAGTTATCCGCACGATAAGTTGTATGCCTTAATCATGTTATCAAGTTGAGATGAGTGAACGTGGGCGTTGAGGTGGTGGGGGCAGCATCTACCAACGGACCAACAACTAGAGTTGGAAGTGGATTGTGGATTTGCAGGATTTGGTACAAGGGTTGATAGGCAAAGTAAAAGGGTGGGAAATGAATGATTCAAGACGATAATAACGTAGATTGTCTGCTTCTGAAAGGAAAACTAGTGTTGGGATCCTTATTGGGATATTATTATTTTCTATATGCACTTTGTTAAATCTCCTCCTTCGTGTCCTTTTATCGTCTCATTTCCCCCCCTTTCTTAAATCTCCTGGTGGAGATATTAATAAGAGAAAGAATATTTAGCTGCTTCCATTCAAATGTTTGACCATCGGCACTAACAATGGGAAAGTAAAAGATAACCCACACCACACATGATGACCAATATATAAGATGGAATTGGATGACACATTTTGTCCTTTTTTCGCTTGGAAAAAAATAAAAATCGGTACGAATGGTTCTAAATGCTTACTTTACTGTCATGCAATGCAATATATGCAATAATTAATGATCTCAATTTGTTTCCAAATGGTTAGGTTATTGTCAATGAGAATCATGATCATGTAATCAACTCAATTTTATATGGACAACATGATTGAGTTACGGTAGAAAACTCTGAGTTACAAAACTCGTGTCTGACCACCTCTTATATGAATCATATTACCCTCTGATATGATCGAATCAGGGGCGGTGATAAGACACGAAACTTTGTCGGTTTTGTAGTTCTGGCTGGGTTATGTATCCTATCATTTCATACACTTTGAGTGTACAAAACAGTACCAAACTTTGAAAATGTGTGGATTTATTTTCGAAGTGATACGAACATAAAGAAAGAGATAAAATTTTTATGTGTTGCAATTTATGTATTCTAGTAATGTATCGATTATTCATTAAAATATCTATTATGCGACATTAAAGCGGTTTTTTTTTGTTTACAAGTTTGTATGCTATCCGCACACTAATATAAACATATCTTGATCAATAATTCAACTTGATTTAATCGTTCACGATTATACGAATTTTTAGATCAATAAAAACCACTGACGGATATATAAATTGACTTATTAGCATGGATATCAAATGAAACAAATAAGTGTTGAATTGATAGCGAAAGGGAGGAAGACTTTGTGGTTGAGGACACTTATGATACACGTTGGCAATTTTGAGATCATGGAATTTAATTATGATAGGGTTTAAATTTAAGTGGGCGTGAGTGAGTGAGTGAGGGGTTTGAATTGGTAAACATAGGAATTTAAGGAAAAGGATGCATTGGGTGGGAAGTTCCCGGACGGCAAGGAGAATGAATGAATCGTTCAAAGAAAGAGATTCATAAACACCTCTCTTTGGGATTTTGTCGTGAAATCCATGGATTTGTCGTCCTGCTGCTGTCCTCCATTCTTGTCCTCTGCCGTTGGCCGTTGCCGTGGCGGTGGGCAGGTCTGTTTATTGTGTCCTATTCCCTCGTGGACGTTAGTTAAAAGGGCGGCCTCGGATCCTTCGTGACCTCATTTATGTCCCTCCTTGCAAACCATAAAACCCTCTCCTGCAGGCCGATAAAAAAAACTTAAGTCTGAATAATGGAATGACCGGATTTAGAATTCGATCCAACTCAATTTTGTCATGAGTCGTGTTAGTGTTAAGACGTTATAAACATGGTCTGAATTGTTTGATCATACTGTCTTTGTGATTCACAATCGTTTTGGATGTACGCGATGATACAATTTTATAAATCAATTGTTGTTCATGGTAGTTCAGATATTGTCAATCTCGTAATTCAACAACGATGAATAACTATTATAATAATCTAGCAAGTTGGGCGTTAATCCTATTATTCTCTTCGTATCGATACAAAGAGAGTTCACCCAATGTATATAGCTTGCTTCTTGGAATAATATGCTGAAAGACTTTTTCAATACACAACAAACTTAACGCATATTCAATGCTCAGGGTTTTCTACTCATTAGTAGTACCAACCCATATGCGGTTAGGAATTATGTACATGTCATAGCTTATCCCCAAATTTTGGGTTATAGGGACGTTTATAATTTTGAAACTATTGTTTATAATAATAATAATAATAATAATAATAATAATAATAATAATAATAATAATAATAAGGTATGTGAAAGAATGTCCCAATACAACCTGCTGCCATTTGGGAGCGGTGGAACGTACGGGTTTCTACCTTTTCTTAACAGTCATTTGCTAGCATTATCAAGTCAAAAGATGAGTATGCCTTCTGGAATGTTAGAAAACAGAATACAGCAAAAAATGAAAACCAAAACATACTATATTAATAGAGAACAACCACATAATTTTATGAAGCGCCAAATAGACAATTCTATTATTTATTCAAATAAAGAAACACGCACCTATGCCGAGATATGCACACTAATTATTGAATCTTCTCATACATCGTGCATTGCTTCGAGCATCCTGCAAAGCGCAAACCGTTGTTGTTAGCTTTTTTGAATGTTCATTTTACTTCTTATGTTTTTATTTTTTTTTTTATATAATTTTGAGTAATTATTTTGTGTATTTAAGGAAAGCCCTGTGTACAACTTTAGGAATAATGTCAGCTATTAAATTTTTTTAAAGTGGTCTGTATCCGAGCAAATCGAAAATGAAAATTGAAAAGGGATGGGAAGGAAAGGATGGAGGGAGGGAGGCTCATGCTCTACTGGAACTGCATGTCCAGGGACTTGGGCTGAATATTTGGGCTTCGTGCAGTACTGAAGTTGAGCCCTTTTATTTTATGTTTTCCTCCTTTATTTTCAACGCGTAGCAGAGGAAGTGAAACTGGGCCGAAGTGGGATGTGACATAGATTGGGCCAGGCAGGAGCTGAAATATGTATTTGGGCTATAATTCCGATGCAGAAGCCCGCATACTGATTACTGACCCTACTGGATATTTGGATTGTTCAATAGAGTATAGACTGATGTGCCTTTTCATCTAACTTTTCATCTAACAAGTGAAAAATGAGAAATTTTACAATGCTATATAGTATTGGTGTTATAGGGTTTTGTCTTTATGGTACAACTTAAAACTGTTCATTTACGTTATGGTATAACTTCAGATTGTACATATACTTTTTGTACAAATTCTTTTATGGTACAACTTGAACTTGTACTTTTATGTGATGGTACAACTTCAAGTTGTAATGTTGTACCATAACATAATGGTACAAATTGTTTTATGGCACAATCTAAACTTATACATTTAATGTTATAATACAACTTTAAGTTGTACATTAAAACACCAATACTATATAGCATAGTAGAAGTGCACCTGAAAAATGTATGAATGAGTACACGCTAAACATACAATCGTGGTCCTCTTGTACATCTGGAATGAGAGAAATAACCACCTGTGGAACAACAAGAAACGAGAGGAAGGGGAAATTATCTCGCATGCCCTGAAATGGCTTAACGAATTCCAAAATCGGCAAAGGAGGGCGACTCGTCTGCAAAACTCTCGATCTCAATCCTGGATGCCGCCGGAACAAAATCTCTTGAAAGCAAATGTCGATGCAGCCATTTTCCAATCTGGAGGACCTTGGATGGGGAGTCGTTTTTCGAGATCATCGAGGTGATTTCAGGCTTGCTGCAGTGAAGAGAACCCGACGGCGATGACCCACGAAGATTGCTGAAGCCATGGGGATGATTTTCGCACTGGAGTTAGTGGAAAGATTTGGCTTCAATTGTCTGGATATTGAATAAGATTGTTTGTTGGTGGTTCAGAAAGTGAAAAGGGAAATGCAATCCACCTTGGAAGTGGAGGAAATGTGCGAAGAGATCAGACTGTTAGCCGATCGGGTTGGAGAGGTGAAATTCGGGTACACGGGTAGGGACTTCAACAGGCCGGCCCATTTATTAGCTCATACATTTTGTGAATGGGATTCTGAGGAGGTTTGGGCCTAGAGTCTCCCTTTAAGTGAATTGAGATCCCTGTCTCTTCTCATTGATATCGTGTGAATATATACAAGAGTGATGGAACGGAATTAGCTATTCCTAAGTACAACAGCAACTACTCACTAGAAGTAAGGAACCGAAAACTAAACAGAAATAACAAAGTGAAAGAGCTGTTAGGTTGTTCCTAGAATAGCTCATCCTTATCATCCCTTTCTTTTTGGCCCATGCACTATGTAAGGACCTTCAGTGTATTCCAATCTAAATAAATGAAGCATGCCGATGCTAGGAACAGAGTGGCTCATTCGGTGGCTCGTCATGCTCTGTTGTTGTCACCTTGCTATCATAGGGGGTTCGACTACGTTTCTTATAGTCGATAGGTTCTTTGTAATCTGGGATCGTTGATTTTCCTCTTTTTAAGAGTGATCGATTGGCAAAAAAAAAAAAAAAAAAATGCCGATTTAAAAAAAAAATACAATCACGGTTGATTTTATTGGTTATGGTCTATTGACAACCTTTATCGAATTAAGATAGGCATGGACCGAAAGCAAATGAAAATTGAGAACCAAAACCAGGTTGAAAGTATGTACAATTTATTTTGTTTGACTTGGTTAAGTCAAAATTCAATTTCGATCCATTTTTTTCATCGTATTTAAGATTATTTATAAAATTGAACCCCAATCAAAATATTTGAACCGATTCGATGCAATCCGATCGGAAATAGACCGAATCGTTACCCTCCCCTATAAAGATTTTAGGATGAACCAAAATGAACACACCTTAATAACACACCCTAGTGAGGTTGTAATATGTTCGTGGCATGTCATTGAATTGAACTCATTGGGGCATCCAAACTTGAATAGGCTCGTTAGAAAGTAACGAAAACTCAGTTTACTAGAGACCAAGAGGTCAACATTTTCCTTCCAAAAAGGAAAAGAAAGAAGGGGAAAAAGCCACACATTTGTCAAAAAGAGGGGGTGGAAAGAACAGAGAGGTTGCATTGCATGCAGTTCTCATCAAGATGGTTGTAAAGGGAAGAATCTATTGCTGAATTTGGCGCCATAATTATTACAAAAAACGAACTGGGCATTTCAAATCCAAAAACCCTAGCTATGGTTTCTTCTTCTTCTGCTCTCTATGATCAGAACTCAGAAGTCATTCAGAATCTGCGTGTTCTGTTTTTGGCTAAGGAAAAGGTAAGCCATTCCCCCCCAAAAGCCTATTTTCTTTGCCTTACGTGTTGCATCATGCATGGCTATTGCTATGCCTTCATAGGTTTACTCCCAGTCCCAGTGTCAGTGAGTAAACCTTACCTGCTACCATCACAGGATTCCCATTAGAATGCTGAGTGGGAATCAAAGAATGAAAAACCGGTCCAAAAAGAGATTCACACGCTGCCTTGCGAATTGGTATGTAAAGCATCAACAATCTTGTCTACTACTGTTCACTGCAGTCATGAACTGACAAAAGATACCTACTACTCAGATTCTGATTGTGAACAGTTTTTGGCCATTCATTCATTCCACATAAAAACTGCATTGAAGGGAAAAGACTCCAAACTAATAAATCTTATATATCATTCTCCTCTTTTACTATTTTCTGCAGCTTTAAATTTGTGCAGGTCCTGGTTGATGAACTATATGAATATGAACTGCAGTCTGATTAAACAAGAAGAAGAAAGCATAGAAATAGGCTTTAATAAACGCCTCACAAGTAATGTTGGGCGTCCGTTGTTTCAAAATTGTGGGCCGATTTCTAAAGTGCTTTAATTACTCTTACCTTGAGCTCTATTACTGTAGCTCGGCTACCTCTAACACACACAAAACCAAGCCTAATCTCCATAGCCCAGCTCTGTCTCTGCTCTTTCGGCTCAATTACCTTCCATCTAAGCTAAGTTGCAAGGTAGGGGTTGCTGCTGCTTGCCTTCGCCTACTGCTCTCTCTGTACTCTCTCCCAAATGAAGCGGGCACTGCACTGTTTCAACTTTGACTTAAAAGCAAAAAAGAAAAGTGAATAATGTGAAATCTAGAAACCAAAAACAACTAAAGCGGCCAGGGAAAAAGCAAAAGGAGGGAGAGGGGATAAGAAGTTAAAACGATTTTATGCTCAAAAGAGAAGTGAGGTGATCTGACTTAAGTGATAATATCATTGGACCAAATCCTTAATCATGAAAGAGCAGTAGAGCACCACCTATGATTAATTTATCGGACATGCAATGTTATCCATCTCGATACTAGATCACTCCCCAAAATCCATCTTGTCTCCTAGACACGTCCTAATCTATTCCTTGTATTCATGTTCTATGCTTTTTTTTTCGAAAGTAAATAACTAATTTTCCAACATTTTTTTATTCACGAGAATGAGAGACAGTAGAAGATGAATTTGAACCGGAAACTTTTGTCAAACAAGTTCAAGCACCTAAAGCACTATCACCTTGTTGGCCTAACAGATCCTATCTTAAAAGTTTGTGTATCTAACACTAGGGTGAATGCTGAATATGATACTACCCCTCAGTTACATTTACTTACCCTCCATTTTCAAAGTTCAAACACAGCACAGCATGGTCTTAAAGAGCTCAGACACCCAAAATGGAAACTGAGGGTTGCTGCAGCAACTGAGAGTTCAAAACAGAGATTGATTAACCCCCCTTCCTCCTTTACTTACCACCTTCATTCATGTCTTTTACCAAGTGCGATCCAAAGAGGTCCCCTTGCTAAAATCCCTCATCTCTAGGCCTCCCCAAAATTCCCTTCTTTAGCCTCTGCTCCTGCTTTTTATAGTTGTCTGCTTCTAGTTTTTTGAACTGCTGCAATCCCCAACAAAAGCGCATTACCATCAATGATTTTCCAGAGAATAGAAGCTCAAAATTTGGGACACCAAAAAGCCAAAGTTTTAAAGCAAAGGAAAAAGGAAAGTGGTCACAAGATTCAGACTAGGTCTCTCTTTTGAAACACAAGGGCCAGAGGGAAGGGAAAGACACTAATAATAATAAGTGAGAAACCCACGTCCCTATTTATCAGAAGCCCTCCATCCATCCCAACTGCCCTACAAAAACTGCTAGAAAGTGAGGAACCACCTCCAAACACCAAATTCTCTACTTCTCCCTTTTCATCAAACGTTGTTGTTTGTCTGTGTGTGTACTAGGAAGGAAGAGACATGAAGTGGGGGAAGAATAAGGTTGTTGCTTCATCATCTGCTTCTCGGCCGTTCTTGATCTCTCATGTGCTTCCGGCCTCTTGGCTCACCAAGTTCAATCAGATGAGCATGGGCTCAGGGCAGCAGAGATATGCAACAAAAGCAGCGAACCCAAAAGGGAGTGGTGGTGGTGGTGGTAAACTGAATTTGAACTCTGCCCTGCCTTTCAGCTCACCGAATTTGAATAGTGTCGGCGGCGGTGGAGAAGGGAGATTCTACGGCGGTGATGACGACGCCTTCTGGAGGCTGTCGTTTGGGGACGAATGCCAAGCTTATGGTGACAACAAGTACGTCTCAGATGACGACAGCGACGATGAAAAGTTCCCGCCGTCGAGTTGCCGGAGCTGCTGCGCCAGGTCAAACAGAGTGGGAACGAGAACAGGGGAGGAGGAGGAGGAAGTTGGGAATTTTGGGGTTTTGCCGGCGGCTGGTACGAGAGAGACGGCAGTGGAAATCAGAACTCCAAGGCTGAGATCGGCGGGAATAGAGAAGAAGGAGAAGAAGGCGAGGAGATCGAATTCGAAACGGCAATTGGGTTCGGAAGAAGTTATGGAAGCGAAGAAAAAACAGGGGAAGAATGCAGAGGCAGAGAGCCCAGAATTCAAGCAGCAGCCGGCGGTTTCAGAATTAGAAGGCGCCGCGTGGGATTCATCCACAAAGGCGGAAAATTTCGAGCTTGCGGCGGAGATTCTCTCGTCGGCCGAGTGGGGCAAAGTGAAAAAAGACGCGAGGAAGTCTATGCACATAAGTGGCGAGCCGATGCAGAGAAAACAGAGCAAGCAGGCTGCAGGGAAAGCCAGAGTTGGTTCGCCGAGGACGCCGTCCAAAGCCGAACCTTGCAAAATCAGAGCAATTGAAGAGATGAAGATGAGAGCTAAGAGAAAGTCCAAGCCGCCGGAGAAAACGTCGGCGGCGGCGGAGGGATTTGATTGTTTGAAGAGCTTTGCGGTGGTGAAGAGCTCGTACGATCCGCAGAATGACTTCAGGGAATCGATGGTGGAGATGATTGAGGAGATGGGGATTCGGAAGGCGGAGGACCTGGAAGAATTGCTGGCTTGCTATTTGACGTTGAACTCTGACGAGTACCATGAGCTCATTATCAAGGTGTTCCGTCAGGTCTGGTTTGATGTCAACCACGCCGCCACCTGTCATGATCGGTGATCTTAGCTTACAGGAAATCACCCGAACCAAGTTTGTATGATGGAAGAGGAAAAAGAAAACAGAAATCGTAGTTGTAAGCCTGTAACTGTAAATTTACCCATGTTACATGCATGTTCTTGTTAACATCCTGTATTTTCTCCATGAATAATAGTTATCAGGGAGCTTCTGCTATAATAGAACTACTTTCTCTTTCAGTTATGATCCTCTGTATACAAACTGTGTTTCCAAATTCATGGAATTACAATGATCGAAATCAGAGGTTTTGGTTGGTTCTGTGCTGAAGAATGCTTCTAATGTTGTATATTGCACATTGTAGTATATAACTATATATGCTTTCTGTACATTCTGTTGTATTGATATTGATTTTGTTAAATCCGTTTTCGGTTACGTTGTTTTCAGTTTCATATGTTACTTTAGTGGTGCCTGATGTTTGAAAAACTTATTGGTCGTCTTAGTGCTTGAAAATTCTCTAATAACAAACAATGTTATCAAAATCGAAATGAGAATCAACAAGGATTAGCAAGGAGTTGAACCTAATCAAACATCAATTTGATCAAATCATATACAACCCAGTTACCTGCATAAGCAAACCTCATTGCATCTCACAAGAGTTTCAAGATCAAGGGGAAACCAATTTCCAAAAACTACCTCACCACTTTCTCAACATTCTATGGAACATAAAGGCTAAGACTTAAGAGGAGTGTAGCCTTCGAAATAAAGAAGTGAATGATAGACCAGCTAAATGCCAACTCATTTGGAACCAAAATGTTATTCTTGTTCAAAAACCGAAACAAGGCCGGACAGACGGACTAATTATGTACCTACACCTCCCACTCACTATTTCCCATCGTAGGGGAACCTAGAGCAACGCAACGCAGTATTGTTTTTCAACTCAACAGCAAAACTTATCCAGAGTAAGCACAAGTGGTCCGAATTCCTGATCGGCCAAGGTTTCCTATAGGGCTTTCTCACAGAAGTTGCTAATCTCCTAGCATGAATGGATCTACTTCTCCAAGATCGGCAACCAAGGGTTCCAACCTATCCTCCTCGCCTTCTCCGGGAAAATACGTTGGGAAAGGAAGCATTGAAATCTCGTGCTTCCTGTACACCGCGTCTTTAATAAACACGAAATTACCTTCTGCTCCCGGTACCTACACAACAAGAGGCCAACTGTTCATACAACCTGACAATCTACACAGCAAAATATCCATTTTGTGAGTTTGCATATGAAATGAAGATGAAGGTAAGATGAGCTATACTTGGCCTTTCACCCAGATCAAGTTCCTAACTGGGTCGATCTTGTATATCCATACGTTCTTCACCGTTCTTTGCTTGCCACCCATACGCCCAGGCATTTTTTTCCCTTTAAAAACCTGCACAACCAAATATATGCGTATAACATATGCAACCTCACCATATAAAAAACCTAATGCAAAGCATGTAGTAACGTAGTCGATGGGTATCAGAATCATAAGAAGACACTCCGCAGAGCTTAATTTAGTCTAGAAACTTAAACTTCGAAAGCTAACAGGTTGAGCTTTAAACCACCAACATGTCTACTATCTAAGAAGGAAACTTCCACAACCAAAAGAAATCGGGAGTTTGTTTCAGATCACGTACTAATGATTCAACGGTCAATCAACATATTGCTAAGGAATGACTAAATTGAGCTAATTTAACAGAACTGCACAACAAACAGAGAACTCGATAGTATTAAGGGCAGCACGGACCTTACCAGGAGCATCCCTCTGACCAGTAGAACCAATACTTCTGTGCGATAACGATGCACCATGACTCGCTGGCCCTCCTTTAAACCCATGCCTTTTCATTCCACCCTGCATACAGGCACAAGAAATTTCGATTTGCTTTCTAGTAAGTAAGCCACCATTCTATCGACTATCAAAGGTTCACATTCAATTAAAACATTCCAAAGCGAAAAACAAAGCATAAATTTCTTGACCTGGAAACCCTTTCCCATGGTGATTCCAGTGACATCAACATATTGACCAGGAACGAAATGACGAACGCCAAGAGAAGTGCCGAGCGGCAGCAGCGCATCTTCAGTAACTGGGAATTCCCTCAATTTCCTTTTCAGAGGAACACCTTGCGCTCTGAAATGACCCACTTCAGGCTTCGTTAAATGCTTTGCCTTCTTCTGGCCGCAACCGATCTAACCACGCAAACACCATATTTAACCTTTCAATCCCCAAAAATTACAAAAAGACTGTGAACGGAAAGCATGGCAATGTCTCCATTCTTACCTGCAAGGCGAAAATCCCTTCTTTCTCAATAGTCTTGACCTGAGAGACGATGTTGTCGTCAACCCAGAGAACGGTGATGGGAACCCTGGCACCCCATTTGTCCCAAAGACCAGTCATCCCGCACTTGACAGCGATGAGTCCCGTTCGCTTGGACGACGGGGACATGACGCCGGGCTTGGATTCGATGACTCGTGTGGGCAAAATAATTTCCTGCGGCTGCTGGAGCAGTACATCGGAACTGGCAGTGAAGCCCCTCAGAAATTGATGAAATGGAGATGGCGGATGGGCGACTACTGCGGCAGAGGATGATCTGGAGGAAAGCGAGAGGAGGTGGTGGAGACCGTAAACCAAACGCCTTGACGCGGCGGCGGAGGACATATTTGGCCTGGGTAGAGCTCTGCTTTGCCTGTACAGACAGCGTCGTCTCTCTTGCTGAACGGGAGGGGCGGAGGCTAGGGTTTTAGAAGGAAGGGATTCACTTCACTTGATCCAGTATTCCCGTCACCACATTCACACTTCACAGGAAGGCCGAAGCCCAAGTAAAGAAGAACAAACGGGGCGTTTTATCGGTTTTGGTTTCTGAAACTTTTAATCTATACAATAAATAAAAGCCAAATGAGAAAAATTGAAGCCCCATTTCAAATTTCCTGTATCTAGACTGAAAGTACGAAAGACATTTTGGTCTTCACAATTTTTTTTTATTCAATAAAAAGACACTTAGTGAAAGTAGGAAGGACATTTTGGTCTTCACAATTTCTTTTTTTTATTCAATAAAAAGACACTTACGAGGATTCAAACCATGACCACTTTCAAGAAAAGCAAAGATCATAACCAATCACACTAAGTACATTTGTTGTATCTTTTTAAATTAAAAAATATATAATCGCAGTGAGGAAAAAACCCTTCCCTCATTTCAAATTTCCTGCTCCAAGGGCGTTTGTAGTAAGGGTAGAATAGGGAGTGTCAATTTTTTTCCTTTTTTCTCTGTGGAACGGGCCAACTTACCGCATACAAGCGGATTTAAACGGGTCCGGGAGTGTCAATTCTTTTTCTTTAAGTCCTTTTTTTTCTCCGTGGTGGTAAAATATATATGAAAAGGCAAAAACAATACTCCTTTCTATTGATAAAAAGGAAAAAAATTAATAATAAACTAATGCATGGATTCTAATGGGCTAACCGCTAATCATAAAATAAAAGAGTTGAATGGGTCTGACCTACACGGGATTTGCCCATCAAGTAATACAAATGAACATCATGGGTTTGCCATTCTAAAACAAGCTATTTTCTCTAGCATAATATATATATATATATATATATATATATATATGATGCTATTATTTTATATCTTAGTGGCTAAAATATAATGTATTTTAAAGTTATTCAATGAACCTCGACCAACCCAATTAGTTCAATTTTTATCATTTCAAATATATATTATGTAATTATTTGATATCATAATGATTAAATTATAGTGTATATTATACGGAATCGTTTGGTATTTGTTAGTAAAAAACTTAACAGAAAGATCTATTTGGTTATTTTTAACATTAAAACGATTCTAAACATTTTCAGTTTCCTTTCAAAATTCTATAGCTTTATTCCCGAATTAGTGATGTACAAATGGCGAATTGCAGTCATCTCTTTTCTTTCATTATTTTTTTTTTCAAATAGAAAGTTTAGAAGTAAAGAATAATTATAGTTTGGCATGGGTCGGTCAAACATGTTGAATTTCAAGTTTTGACCCGTTTTGATCAAGTCTAATTTATAATCACATGGTTTCCTGATACCAGATAAAAATCTCAATCCAAACCAGTTTGGCAGGCGAGTCCGTGTTTACCACAATTTTCTAGGGATACAGGAACGGTGGTTCCTATCCTAAATCGTGTTGTTCATTCTTGATTTCTTTAGATTTTATCATGGCTTGGCAAAAAATCAGAAAGCACAATGATGACAAGATGAAAGTTTTATAAATCAAATTAATCGGCCAATGGGCCGAGTAAAAGCTAGCAACGATTGTGAGATGCTCATTTCCCGAAAACCGGCGGAATAGGCGTTTTTTATTCGATTTTCTGGAATTCAGTTTCTATAAAACTTACTCCACCTCATCATATTACCAGAAACAATATTGTTTCACAAGGTAACAAGTACTTGATTTTGGTTCATAAGGCTGATTTTTGATTCGTTGCATCGTTCATGTCTCTTTCCTACTAAAATTCACTATTTTTATCACGTGTTTCCAAAAAAAAACTATACAACAATTAGCTATACACCCATTACATTATCAAATTTCATACCTCACTTTCTTCCGGCCAAATGGTCGGGGCCCACGCTAGTATTTTTTATTTTGGTAATGATGAGAAACGACTAATGACTATTTATTAATTAAATATCTTTTGAAGAACTTTTATCAATTAAATTTATCAAAATACTAAAAATTATACAAACCAAAAAATTTAATGAAGAATTAACGTTTAACTAATTAATAACATTTCAATAGGTTTGGCTAATAAAAAAATAATATATATTTGACTAATAAATAGTTATTACCGTAATATTAATTTTTGAACAGTTGTTGCATATGTTCCTACGTGCTTCACGATTAACCATATAGTCATCTCTGTTTATTTTTTAATCCGTTATTATATTTGTTTTCTTGATTTATATATCAATTTGAGGATGATGATTGAACCATACCATTATTTTTGTTGTGACATTAATTTAATTTTTGCGCACTCATATTATCTAATACATCTTATTTGTTTGCCAATGAATCTCATTGTCAGCATTCTTTTGCATATATTTTCATGACTTGCTTTTCAGTTTGTAAATGGTGATGATCTTGAACTCTATGATGGGTTTTTCTAAATTTAATAATCACAATGTATCCTAAACGAAGTGTGTTTATTTTTACAATGGAAACTATCAATCTTTTCCGGGTAAAATACCTCGAGTGTCACTTAAGTTTGAGAATTGGGGTAGACATACCACTTAAATTTGAATAGGGCGTCGGGTACCATTAAAGTCACCAAAATGTGCATCCGTCTACTTTTCCATCCAAACCAAAATTTTAATTACTTTTTAGTACCCGAAACTTTTAAAAACATCCAAAACTATATTTAACAAGTTTTATCTAATATAATAATTAGAAAACCTTCTAAACATATTATTGCTAGAATGATTAATATTTTTAATAAAATAGATAAATTAGTAAATATAGTAAATTAATATCAAGAATAATAATAAATATACTAGAATATAATAATAAATATTTAAAATTAATATTAGAACATCTATTTAAATCTCCTAATTCAATTAGAAGCACCATTAGAAATAATTAAAATAGAACCTAATCGATTATCAATATATCAAAATCAAAGAAGGATAACTAGAACACAATAAGAAAGAATTAAACATATTCCTCTAATTGAAAAAAATTAGAACGAAAAGAAATGAAAAGTAACCAAGTAACAAATAAAACATAAAAGCTACAACATTCGGTAAAAAATATAGAAAAGAAAATATGACTATATAAGCTACAACATTTTTTAGTTATAACATGCATGGAATAATTAAATTATTAGAACACATAATGATAATTAAAAATAATTATAATGATAATTGATTCTAAATTTTCTTGATTTGGTATCAAATATTCAAAAGAGGATTCTAACTAACCAATGAAAAATGATATTTTTCATAAGTCCAAATTATTTTCTTACAATAAAAAATGTAGAAGGACCAATTATGAAATTTAGAAAACAGAATATTCCAAGAATATTCTGTCAACTTTAACGGAATGCACTTAGGAGTAAACTTAAGTGGTACCGGGTGCAAATATAATAGAGTTCACTGGTACCCGACGCCCTATTCAAACTTAAGTGGTATGACGACCCCAATTCTCAAACTTAAGTGGCACGCGAGGTATTTTACCCAATCTTTTCCCATACAATTCCTTCTCTTCCTTGAAAAATCATGTCTAAGTTGTTGTTTTTATGCATTTTCCCTACGTACTTATTGATTTGAGAATGAAAATAGATTCAAAGCGGAGGAAACAGTTTCTGTATACTCACATTGCTCGCCTATTCAACAAGTAATATTTCCAACCCGTCGTTTCTTCTAATTTTTCAAATGAACTTCTCTAATTAAGGACAATTAACGATCTCGACATGAGAGTGTTTATGTTCATAGTGTCATTGCATAGTCTTCACTGTTGGGATCCCATTCCCCTTCAAAAGAAATGTTTTTTTATATGTGCTCTCTTGACATGATACTCAATAGGTGAAGTGGTCGGCGGGGAGATGGAGTGAGGCTTTTATGGAGGGGAAGTGGTCGGCGGCAGGGAGGATTGGCGTCGACGGCGACTGCGCGGGCGGACGTCGGCGGGCTGCGCAGCGCGGAAGCGGGGAGGCGAAGGTGAGGCGGCGCGGCGCGAAGGCTGAGGGTTCGGGGCGCGGAGGCTGGGCGGGCGGCGACTGCGGAGGCGGCGGGCAGGGTGGCGAGTGGCGCAGAGGGGATGCCTCTGTTGAGAAGAAAATGGAAGGGTTTGGGGGGCGGCTGTTATGTTGCGGTAGGGTTTGGGGTTGGTTATGTGTTTAAAAAAAAGGAATTTCTTTGCATCTGTGGGGATTCGAAAACTGGTCTGATTTAATGAAATCAAGCGCCCAACCAATAGGAATCCCGTGTGCAACATGTTCAAGAATCAGATCCAAAGCAATAACTTGTTGTTTCTCATATTTGGGCCTTGTTGTGCAACTCTGATTCACAACAGAATATAAAAACCCAACTAAACACGATTTTTTTCTTGATTTTTCAAATTTCATAAAACAAAACAGACAACAAAAACAAGCAAAAAATACTAAACGGGCCCTTAGTTTTGAGTAATTACCATCAAATCACCTTATGAAATACAACCCAAACCACATCTAAGTTTATTAGTGACGCAGACAACACAAGTAAAATCTCGATGAATTGTTATGGTCAGGACTTCATCGAGATTTGATGAAAAGATGATAATGCCAGATTCCCAAATCTCGATGAATTGTTATGTGGGAAGTTAATAATAATGATACTAATGGGGGAAGTTTTTTTTTTTTTTTTTACACTTTCTGTATCTACATGTATTATATGTATTATTAGAATCTCAGAATTCATTTGCATTAAATTGAAAATAAATTTTCAGAATTTTTAGGGAAAAAAATGGAGCCAAATACAGTGCACTAGTCACGGGCCCGGCCAGTTGGCCGGATTCACAACACCAGCGTAAATAATTGTATCAATTTGTATGTGAGATTTTTGTTTCTTTGGTAGTATGTTAAAAATAAAGGTTTCTAAAAATATTTAACATTCTAATTTCTTAGCATAAAAGAATTCAAATTAATGAAATACTTCAATCAATCAAAAGATGACATTATAGTGTTTTCCGACATTCTAACCGAATTATCGAGTATAATTGTTTTATGAAAATGAAAGATAAACCCTATGCCATGGATCCGACTTCTAAAAGTTTTGTGAAAAAATCCTTCTATACTCCTCATTGTCAGAAATGACTGCACGTTTTATTATATTTTGTTTGTAAAGGTCGAATAATTAGTCGATGTCCAAGTCCAACACGTGGTAATACCATCTTACATGATTAAATTGTTATATTAAAATTTCATTGTGTACCGGTTAATAAGTTAAATGCCAATATAAGAGTTACATCTTGTAAACTATAATAGCCCATGTTGTAAATTACATGGACTCTGTTAACAGAACGATGGTGATTATCAAATTCTTATAAATCCGATGAACATAGCTAACCAATATTTTGAAGAATGATCAGTTTACCCATTTTTAAGAGGTTTAATTTAGACACACCAAATTAATCGGATTTGTAAAAAACAAAAAGTTGGGTATCAAATGTAATCAAGAAATTCGTAGGTACCAAATTTATTTTGGGCCATTTATTTTGGACTTTTATGATAAAATATTAATTTAAGTTGTTGACTTCTCAAATATATTAAGTTCAGGTAGAATAATATAATTTTCTATGAGTATGGTTACAAACCCAAATCAAACAATAAAAATCTGGACCAAGCCAAATAATTGGTATGAGTATAATAGTACTCTATGAGATTTTGATTACTACTCAAGTGTCTTTTTCCACATTCCACAAATTAATTGATTAAGTGGAAGATAAGTAGGCGAATTAATGATCAAATCATGACAACACACTTCTACGATCATTCGTTGCATAATATTTATTAGTCACGGCATCATAAGTATAATATTAAAAATGCACACACCCCTCAAAACGTACTGCCAATGCATAACCAAAAAAATACATTATTTAATTGAAAACAAAATTAGGTCCTACCAAAAGTACACGAAGTACAAAATTAAAATACTTCAACCATTCAAAAGGATCACCATCATAGTATTTTTCGAATATCCTAACCAACTCATCGAGTAAAATTGTTTTTGAAAAAATAAAAGACAACCCCTATGCGAGGGAACCGACTCCTAATTTACTTTTGCGAACCATTCTATTTACTCCTCATCAATAGAGAACACTCTATGTTTTGTTTTAGCTTGTTTGCATTCCCTTTGCCATGAGCAACATCATCATCTCCACCGGTAGTGAAGTCTTTTTTCTCCATTAGTGACATGGTTTGGTCCAACATGAGGTGACTCTCACTTCTTCTCAAGAGCATCCTCATTTCTTGCACCGGATCCAGTACCTCCATCATTATCAATGCCATTATGGATCTCTTGCATTAGGATAATGATATTCGATTTTTGGTATTCGAAAATAAAAACTATTTGTTGTTTTATTGAATTATAAGTGTATAATATTTGGTATTAAAGTGAAGACCTATACACGTTGATTATACAACCAAGTATGCAACTGTATGCATGTGAATATGAAATAAAGGAAAGTTGCACTATTTTAAGTTATACAATTAAATGCATTGCAAAATCCTTTGGTTTGTTCTTTTCAGTAGATATCAGGCTACCGATTCGATGATATACTTGACCTCCCATCGAATAAACATATACTATACGTCCATCATTGTTAGATCGATCCAGTTTACCTCCAATCGACGTCAAAGTAAAGACCCCATTATATCCTCGGATATATTCCAAAAAGTGACGTCTCATTGAAGTGCTTGCTTGCAATAGCATATTCAAAACCTCCGGAGGCTGTCTTCGAGGATGAAGCTTCACCTTACCTTGTCTACAACATCGTGAAAACTTTGGTTGATGGGAATTTGTTGTGGGTTGGTAGTTTCGCCCTTCCACATCATCGCTCCACAATATGCACATTTATATGATGGTTTTCCAATATCAAACACTTCAACAACTGCAATAAAACTAAAACTACCGTATAAGAAATAAATTTGGTGGCAGACTCTAGCATTATAATAAATGAAGGAAATTGAAATAACCAAAATATCAATAAACCTGGAAAGTCACCAGAACGCATTACTCGAAGACAATTATGACGATTTTCGGCAAGTTTGATAGACCTCAACAATCTATTTCTCTTAGACTGTAAGTTATTCATCGCATTTTGTAGTCCCGTATAGGAATTAGTAAAATAAGCAATTGTACCGGCTAACACATAATTTGATATCTTATAAATCGAAAACAAACGTGAAACAAATAGATTACCAGTAGGAATGTTCACAATTTTTGCATATATACACGTACGCCTTATATAAATAACACGTTTCCTTCTTGGTAATCTGGTCAATGGTTGATTAATTCTCTTCAACACTTACTTAAGTGCATCCATTTCTAAAATGTAAATTGGAGAGTAATGATTTTGTAAGTTCAAATAGCGTGAAATAGCTAGAGAGATTATAATCAACTGATAATTATCGATATTTCCTAAATGGAAAAATATTTCATCGATATTCTTACCATCGGAATTTTTTTTTTTTGCACTTCAGATAGAGACCGATTAGAATCCACTACACCTTCTGATGGTACAAAAACACCTATCTTTTTTCCTGAATAACACGTGAAATGGACACATATTAAATTGTGAAATCTATATATTTATGCTAATAACAATATTTGTACTTACATTCAATTTTTCATGGTGGAATTGAATCATTAGTTAGTAAATACTTCATTTAATACACGTATATATGGATGTACGTATTGTATCCGTTTAAAATTTTGGTATCCTAAAAATACTATATTGGTAAAAGGTATCTACATTGTTGTCCAGCCCTACGGGAAAGTATAGACAAAACTATGCATATAGAACATGCTTACAATATTATAAGAAGATAAGATATATTATTAGAGAACGAAATACAAATGCTCAAAGAAGAAAACAAAAACATATTCATAATTGATTTTCACTACTTAAGATGACCATATAGTTCAGGGCTAGAGTTGCTTCCCATAAAACATACATAATGAACCCTCGGGATGGAAGAAAGAGATTGGTAAGAGCTGATATTGATGTATGAGGATAGTTGAAAGCTACTATAATGTATTAATGTACAGTGATCAAGCCTTAAGTTTTCTGAGTATCTCTTTAAAATTTTAATTAAATAAAGCACTTTATGCCACAAACACAATCAATTCTTGGAATAATGAATTTTGGTGATGCATTTGGTGTCAATAGCCATGATTACTTAATGTTAGATAATACGTAATTATTTTACTATAAATGAAAATTGTGAAATCCATAACTATATACATTCGTATAAATAAGTTTATACAAGTCGCACACACTTTTTATCACAACAGCTATTCGTCCACTCCATTAACCCCTCTCCGTTAACTATAGCTTAAACCATTCTCAGTCAATAGCAAAACACGTTAAGAAATTTCCAATCATCGGAGTAAAAAAAAAACAGAGATTTCGACGTTGACCCATATTGGTCTATTGCATAGTAATCGGTGCCGGGGTGAACTCACATACCGATTTCCCCTGGAGGTTTCAATAATACGATATTCATATTGATGACTTGAAATTAAAACTTATAAGTTTAATTCAAATTAGGTTGGGCACTAAGAATTATAAGTTCGTATGGGAATAAGATTATACATAAACATAATATTTTCATTTTGGAGACGTGTTTGTGATGATGCGATACAAAAATAGATCATGGTAACATAACTTAAAACATCATTTCAAAACAAAAATTATCACTACTGTATATTTCTTGATTGGTTGGTACAATAATACCATTATTTGATGATTGTTTATAGTAGTGTTTGATTTGATTTGATGATTGTTCAGTGCATACCTCATTCTCAATTACTTATTAGTGGGAAGTTAATAATAATGTTAGTAATTGGAAAATAAAAAAATATTTATCACTTTCTGTAATTATATGTATTCGTAGAATCAGAGAACTATTAAGCATAACATTGAGATAAAGTTTAAGTTTATATTTTTTGTGAATAATGATTCTAATACAATTGTGAATGACTTGGTTTCGGAAATATAGCATAAAAGATCATTTACATTTCAGCGTTATTAACAAATTCATCATTGTACCACGAGTTGATTATATTATTTGTATCGCAAAAATTAAGATTAAAGAAGAAATCATCTCTAAAACAAAACTAGCTATGCTAAATCTATTAATAGGAAACGAAGAAATCACTTTTTTAACCATCGATGATTACATTATTTGGGGAAAAGAACAACAATAATCATCTAATCTGGCTCATCCATAAGCAGCAGTAGCGGAGCCACAACCAACCAAGGGAGGTCGACTGCATTCTCTTGGACTGGCAAGGCCCAGCCAAAACATAGACATATTAGGTCACAAGGAGGAGATTGAATCCCAGGAACAGAGCATTTCACAATCACTGCGCTAGTAACCAATACTCCAATAGTTAAGTTGGTATTTAACAACTAACTTATTTATATATAATTACTAGCGCAAAGCCCGACCTGTTGGCCGGGAGAGTTCAATATGTATATAATTTGTATTTGTTATTTACCCCAATGATTTATGTTTTGTGTGATATTTGATCATGTATGCTTATAACGTATTGAAAATATGAGTAAGTCAAAATGACTAATAAAGAAATGTAGCTAACAGTGATATATGTATTTATAAAAGTGTTGTCTATATAAACAGTTCATAAATGACAATATGAGAGTTGCTTCTTACGATACATACATAATCAATCTTCACCATAAAATAAAATTATTTTACTTTGAGGAAGT